ATGTTTGAACTTACTATTTTTAATGTCGGCTTTCAAGGACGCAGATACTGCGTATAGCCCAGGGTTAAAATGCAATATTTTTTTCTTAACAAACTTGACCAAAGCTTCATAAAAATAAAATGCGTTGGAAACATAGCGGCTATAATCGTCATTTTCTGATATCTTTTGCAACTAGTATTGCGTATTGTACACATAGTGATATTTATATTAATTTTAGTAAAATCCGAATGAATGAAAAATGTTTTTAAAAAAAAAAAGCGTCTTGCGAAAGGAACACCGAGCTATCATAAGATTTAAACGACGCCAGAGACAATTTTTTTAAACATTTTAAAATCATTAGAATATATATAATTCATTCATTTAAAGTTGCTCTGAACGATTCCTTTAAGTTTTTAAAATTATATCTGAGAATCTAAAAAGTGGAAAAACACTGTTTTTTATGAAAATAAAATATCCATATTCAAGTCGTTGTTAGAAATCTAGCTCAATGTCAGATTGAACTGTGCAGCCTGTGTGTACGGAGCATCTATATTAATGACTCTTTTAATTTATTGTTTTGAATTCATAAAAAATAAATAAATAACGTTCTATAAATAAATATTACTGCACACATTTGGCAATGTGGCATAATGGGGTTAAGGTTAGGGGTCAGGGGTTAGGGTTAGGTGTAAACATTGACATGTGTAAAAAAAAAATCAAAATCAATATTTTTTGACATTATCATGAAATCAGCTTTACGTCAGACTTGGCCATACGACTTTCATATACAAAGTATTTGACCCTAGAACATTCGTAAAATAAATTTCGCCTTTTAAATTCTACTAAATCATGGTCTATATTTATTATTTAAAATATGATCGTACATGTGCGTTTATACAGGGATACCAGTGAGGACTTTATTAAGAAAAATTAAAGTTTTTTTCCTCGAACTTTTTGGACAGCCCTTGTATAGTAAAAAAAACTTATTTGTCTTATCATTAGGCAATCATTTGTTTAAACATCAGTCCAAAGAAAAATTACTCTAGACCAGTAAATGAAAGATAAAAAGAATGAAAACAATGCATTACAATGAAAAATGTTTATAAAAGTCAATAAATGCGAATCTTCGCTGAATTAAAAATAGAAAGACATTCAATGACAACAAATCTAAATTATTTGAAGATATAAAAACATATCTATTTATTATACTGCTGGTTAATAGTAATAGTCATCTGAATCACTGTCTCTGTAGTAATGGATGTATTCGTCAATGTCAGAATCATCCATACCATAATATGCCACATCTGAGTAATCTGTGTCGTACGGGTTCATGTAAATATCATAGTAGTCACCCAAGAGTGTCTGTATATTCACACCCATTGCACTGCTGAAAAAAAAACAATATAGGCCATATATATTAAGAAATGATTGTTAAGAGCATTGGTGTTTGAATACTAAACAGAAAAAAGAAAAAAATCACTTATTCTACTTGAACTGTAAGCAATTTTTGACAATAAATCAATCATTACTTGATGAAGAAAGTATAAATCTCCAACAGGAAAATTTAGCTAACAGTTAAGATAGACGTTGGAAATATGTAGAAACGAACAAATACATAGTAATCGAAGTCAAGATCCCTTCCTTTCATTAATTCCAAAATCATGTTGTTGATTTATACTTTAATTTATTATTATTTTCATCTCAATCTTTCTCATTCTCCATCTTCACTATGTAATCGTTTTCTCGTATTATTTTCAGTGTTCTGTACTCCATCTATCCCCTCTCCATTCCCACCCCTTTCTCCTACTTTCTTTTTTCCCTTTCATAACCCAGTCCCCTGGACATAATACACAAAACAATAGTAACCTTTCCATTATTAAAAGATTAATATGAATACTAAGGTTGGAGAGCTCAAAACTATGCTTTAAAACCATTAAAAACTATTCCAAATAGAAATTACTCCTAGATTGGAGGTTGTGTTTCCTTATTCTTCTAATGATATATACATCTGAGTAAAACTGGTCCCTATATTAGTACCTAAGGATGGAATATTCATCAGAATAAATATCCTTTCATTTATGCATCAATCTTCTATATTTGACAATGCCTTTGAAAAAAAAACTATACAAAATAATAAACATCTATTATTTATCTATTTATTTAAGTTTCATTATTTATTATTATTTTACTCAGAGGAAAAGTGCAATTCACAGCCATATAGCTCTGTCCAAAGATGAAATTTGGAAGAAATAGTTTATTACCTTTTATTTTCTTCTATCTGTATTTGTTCAAAGTCTAGCACATCTTCCCTTAAAGATAAATACGTCTTAATTCGTTCAGGAATAGGAAGTACCATAATCTTAGATTCTATCTCGGCTCCTTGTCCAACATCAGCTAAATGTGATCGTATAGTATTTCTGCACAAAGATGACAGCGATAATTCTTCTTCTACTTCAGATGTCTTCAGAAAATTTAAAAATTCATTTTTCTGTTCCTCGTAATCAATTCTTTTGTACCTTTTCCCCTCTACTAAAATTGTTGAACTTTCCAAATGAGAAACGTCCATGGATTTAAAATCTTTATCAAGACTGCAGTTATATCCACATTTTAGTAAGGTAACCGCAGCCCCAAAGAAACCTTTTTTCAATAAGGTAGCCAGTATCGATTTCCTGTAGTAGTTACTAAAATACAACAGTTTAAATCTCTCTTAGTTAAGTTAGTTCTTTCATTAAAATAGTTTGCTTAAAAGAATAAAGAAGTGATTCTAAGAACTTTATCTCTTTGACGAGGATGATAATAATGAATCAAAATAGATACAATATTTTACTAACAACGATGTGGATTGCGTAGCAGGATCCATTTTAGCTCCACCACAAATTAATTTATTAAACAATGAGAGGTCAATTTTTGCAACAGTCATCGTTTCTGTCTGATCAATTTTCATGGATTCTGTATTCTCCACCATCCCTTTTACAAGATTTGATAATGGTATTATTCCATATCTATTTGGCTTGTTTACACTGCACCCATGCTCAAGGACAAGTGATGCTATTTCATTCTTTGAAGACTCTTCCTCTAATAAAAAGATTAAATGATTTAAAAAGTAAAAATTAATGTTTACCTTTAATATGATTTTTAGCTTTTTCCCCAATGATATTTAACTCAAATCAGACGAGGTTCGTATAGATAAATAAGAGCGCTTAATTTGTAATAGCAATAAACGTTAAATATAATACTGAGAAAACTATTTTACAGTACTAAAAAAAATTCAAAGGAAACTTTTGTTTACTTTTAATGAAAAATATCATAAGTAGTTTGATTTTAAGGATTGATAATAGAACAAAAGTCTAAAATAATTTATTGCTGAAAAAAAATTAAAAACTGCTTTAATATTTACTTATGTCGCATGCTAAATGTAAACATGTGTTCTCATCGCTATCACACGAGTGAATATTTGCTCCTTTTTCCAAAAGTACTTTTACTATATCTTGGTGTCCTGACTTAATTGCCATTAAAATAGGCGGCTTGTTATCTCTATACAGATTTGGATCAGCTCCATTTTGTATCAAGAATTGTATGAAAGCTTTCCATTCTGCACTCAAACCATTAGAATCAATAGTTCGCATGCACCGATTCAATGCAAAGTCGATGTTAGGATCCGCTCCTTTCGATAGTAAAAAACACCCCAAAGAAGCTTGATCAACAGAACCTAAAACAGAATCGACATATCAAAAAGTCAATATAAATTGTCTTTAAAATTCTAGTTTAATCTGGGACAACATGTATAACTTCATATTTTCATTAATCAAAAATGAACTTGTGTCCGTTCCCTAGTTGTTGAATACAATAAAACATTCAAAACAAAACAATAAAACTCTATAGTTTAACTGCAATTTATTACAACGTTGTAACTAAAAACAAGAGCCTCATGCGTCACATCGCTCATCTGAGTAACTTTGTCCATACTTTTTTTTTTTACCAGAGTTCCTCCCTTGTAATACGAATTGTGACCCCACCTTATCTCCAGGAGTCATGATTTGTACAATTTAAATATATACTATATTTGGATAGTTTCATATAAGTTTGAGCTTTTATGGCCCAGTGGTTCTTGAAAAGAAGATTTTTAAAAAATTTCCCTATCCATTAATGTTACTTTCCGTGATCGGGAGGTCGTGAGTTCGAATCTCGCCCGCGATCGACAAAGATCTATAAAAATTTGTAACAACTGTTCCTTCGCTGTGCACTTGGCACTTAAAGTAAAAATGGTGGGTCTTTTCGATGAGACCTTAAAAACCGGGACAAGTCACGACAGGTGTTGGCACGAAAAAGATCACTCACTGCTAAATGGGCTTGACTGTCGAGTAAAGGTCAAAATTTGAAGCCTTTCAGGGTATAAAGTGATATCTCTATATGAGTGAAAAAATCTGGAATGGAAGGTAAAACAACAATCAATCAATCAATTCAATGTATAGCTTGGATTCTCTATTGTGGCCCCGCCCTACCCCCGGGGATATTGTTTTAATGATGTGCTTTTAAACTTGATTTATTATGGATTTTTACTTTTGAATGTTTTCAACCATAAAACCTTAAATTTCAACAATACTAGTGCAAATGTAGAATGTAGAATACAAATTATATTTCCAATTAATATAAAAATTTGCACGTATGAGAACATTATATAAATTAATCTGAGATACTTTTATTTACCATAATAAAAAGTGATTAACAATATTAAAGTATAAATTACTACAGCACATTATAATGAATGATGATGAACTATAAGTTACTTATTGTAAAATATAGTAGGGCAATTTGAATTGAATGAATATGAAGCAACACTAAATGGTTTTTTTTAAATGTAAGGACAAATGATATAAAGATGATGCCTGGATTGGTACATAATTTTGGACACATTTTGATTATAAATACGACAATATTTATAAAATGTAAGGGAATAAAAATTTAAATTGAATCATGTTCAAAATCCACCTTTATGCTATCGCCTTTATAATCTTTACAATAGTTTCTAAGTCACTGTTTAGGACCTTATTGTATAAAAATTTGAATGAAAAGGAAATACACTAGGTTTAAATTATATTAATAAAGACTTTTTTCTTATGGTACTAAAATAACGCCTGTCCCTAGCTTATATTGGTTCCGGTTTTCTAAAAGTTTTTTTTATTTCTATACATAACTTAAATCTAAAATACATGTTTAATTTTTTTCCTGCAACTACCCCTTGGATTGACTTAAAAAGGTAAACATAAAAACCAAAGCTTTATTCGATCAGTGCCCTAGTATAGCATGGTACAAGAAACATATGGAGATAACGAACAATATCCATGCTCAAAAGTCCAATAAGCGGTACAAAATTGGAGCAGAGCAAACACGAGCCTCCAAAACATAAGGGGTGGGACCAGGTGAAGAATGACCTTCCCCTACTGACCGGTCACATTCACTGTGTGCTCCATGCAGGCTTGGGGCGAATTACATTGTAAAGTAATGCATTACATTACCATTACTTCAACAATTTGGGCATTAAATTACCATTACCATTACTCTATTTTCTTAAAGTAATGCATTACATTACCATTACTTTAGTAAAGTAATGCATTACCATTATAATTACTTTTGGAGGTTTTTAAAAATAGAAATACCAAACTTTGCAATTTATTTTTTTATAAGCATGTATCCACCTCCTTCAAAACTAAACTTGATAAATGATAATTTAAATTTTATTTCCAAGTACTTGTATATAATTGTCAATAACTATCATTCATAGGAAATTTCAAGTTTTTAAATTGTCAGTAATATAAAACATGTCCAATTTCAGGTCCCTGACAATATGCACTTTTTGTGTAACTATTGATGTCAAAAAGCAATTTAATTTTTGGGGCACTTTAACCCCTGTCCAAAAAAACTAATAATAAAGCATAGGCTATTTTGATCTAGTACCTTATGAAAAAAAAGTAAATGCATTGACAAACTTGTAAAAAAGGTAGACATTATGTACATTTTGCTAGCTCTGCTATAAGAATAGAATTCCTGCATGTTTTTTATTTTCCTTGTTACAATGGATTGTTCATGGCCAGTTCAAGCTAGAACAGCTCAATTAATGTTTTATAAACACAGTCAGAAGAAAGGGACTGGTAATTTGGAGCACTTCTCCGAACAATGCAATGTACCTCATATGGAAATTTAAAAAAAAATGATTTTTAAAAACTTAAATAATTCTTTAAGAAATCAAATCTTATCTAAAATAAGTTTGAAAACTTAAATGTAAGGTAAGTGTACTTTCAACAGAATAAAAAGCGTATTTAAATAGATATAGAAATTTTATTTAAATATGTTAACTTTTTTTCATTCACGTTTATCATTTGGGTAAAAAAAATGACCTAAACCATATCTTCAATGTCCATTTTAATTTCTTAAAATAGGCACATACTAAGTAATGCTTTGTAATGCTATGTAATGCCAGCATTACACTGGATTTTATGAAGTAATGCATTATATTACCATTACATGTAATGCAAACTTTTGGGCATTACGCATTACTAGCATTACTTTGAGTTCATGTTATGCATTGCAATGCGTTACCATTACAATTAGCATTATCCAAAGCCTGGCTCCTTGTCATGATCAAGCAATAACTCAAAAATGTTTTCTGACGTTCTAAAAGCATTGTGACGTCATGTATACATGTTTACGCCATGGCATCCTAGTTTCAATTGCAAAGGATTGAAAATAGTTCGTTTTGGAGGTCAGATGTCAAAATATTTTGCAGGATAAACAAGATACATGGCAACTGCCTTGAAATATAAGCAATAAGTGCGTTCGGATCAAAAACGTGACGGAGGGCTCGGCATATTAAAAACACAATCAAGAGGAGGATATATTTTGATAATAAAAGTAAACTAAATTTAGTAAGCTTAGTAGCAGGGAATTTTGCTTCATTTTGCTTCATGATTTTGGAGGAGCTGGTAACATTTACGAATACTTTATAACTTTACAGTCATAAAGAATTACTTACCAAGACTTCCAGTTTCACAAACTACGCTCAAAGGGGTCTGTCCACTGTTGTCTACAGCATTTACATCAGCACCAA